CTCCAGTTGCACATTATACAAGTTTATCCGACACAATCAGTGGCATATGCTTTCAAAGCTAAAATGTAGCTAAAATCATGGAACCAAAGGGGCAAAGCCAACAACTTGCACAATTCAATAGATACGCACACGATAAAGTAAGTGTTGGGTATTTTCTTTTACATTTTATTTTTCTTTACATAGGAACAATACAAGACATAAACAAAAACATGGTTGATCCCACTAGACAGCACATGCAATATAAAGGTACAGCAAAAGAAAAGTTAAGTAAATAAAATACACACATATTTCCAGTCCTTCATAGGTTTTCAAGGGCTAAAAATAACCGGTCCCAAGCAGCTCAAATACTCTATATGTGTTGGATATTTAAGCTGAGGTTTGATTGAGCTCTTTGCAAGCAGGGTGTTCAAATGTTTTCAGTGCTTTAAGATCAATCACTCAGTTTGGAGGAATACGTCTTTAATGACATTTTTATGCAGAAGTACAAAGGGAAACATTATAAAGACATTCTGTAAATGGATGTTGAAAGTTTAGCCTCTGAGCTGCCCTGTTGGTTTTACTCACCACATCCTAAGTCACTCTGAACAAACGACAGTCATGTGAAACAGAAGCCCTGTTTTTTAGGAATTGGGAGTTTATTATCTCATAAGAATTTTAACTTCTTAAGCAGGTGATAAATAATTATCCTGTTTTATTATTTTAAATTGGGGTAAAGTGTGCTTAACATTTGGATATCCAAATTCCAATAACTAAGAACGGTGCTTGATCACATCTACACGACACTTCATAAATTCACCTGCATTTTAACCTCTGAACAAATGCTAATTTCTATGTTGTGTTAAAGTTCAACCAGCAGCAGTGTAGGAATGGTAGATAGTTTATTTTTTCCCAAAGCGACCAATGTGGCTTCTACACTACATTTATGGTTAGTGCCTTTCAGAAAGGCTTTCTTCCATTTTCTATACTCAAAGAGGGTATTTACAGTCTCAAGTGCATGTTCTTTATTACTTCTAGTCATTTAATTGCTCTCAGATGTGTGCTAAAAAAAAGCAGCTTTGGGAAATTCAAGTTTCTTCTTATGTATCAAATACTTGAGTAATGAAGACTCAATCTTATGTCACAGCTGTCTTTAAAAATAAATTAAATCTGTTCACAAATAAGGCTCAAGTGGTGGTCTGCTGGGCAGAGAACAGAGTGTTTACATCCTGGAGAGGCAGTGAGATTGGATGTTCGAAACTCAGGCTGTTTCTATGGGTCCCTGAGCAAAACCCATAACACCAGGATGTTCTCCGTATGCTATTCAGTTTGGCAGCAGTGTTCTCAAAGGGATGGATTAAACGCAGAGGAATAAATTCCCACTGTGGACTTAAAAAGCCATATTTTATTTTTTCCTTTTCTTCAAATAGAAAAGACTGGATAAGATGGTGGACTGTGCGGTTTCACTGTAGTAAGAAATCTTTTCACAACCAGTGTTTACATCTGACTTTGAGGGCCTCGGGTACGGAAAGAATTTATTGAGCTATCTGAACAACCCAACCTCTGAGAGCTCTTCACTCTCAAGTGGGAAGACCAAAGGTCAAAACAGGTGCTGCTGGAGCTCTAGTGAGGAAGCAACCAGGCTTGAATAGCCATCTCTCTGAAAACTATTTTTTTCCCCAGGTCAAATACCCTGAAACACAATAAGAACACCAATCCCAAATCAGATGTCTTCATTCATATTGCACACTAATAACAGTCTGACTTAAATAAAATAATCAAATATGACTTGGATGCTTGATGTCATATGATCTACAGCTTTTTCTGTGTGACAAAGTTTTCCAGTATGTTCGACGAATGCCAGTTCATGTCCAGCTCATGACATATGAGGTGCTGACGGAGAGAAAGGCAGGGTGGTATGCTGGCAGATGGAAGGCCTGGAGGCTTAGAGGTAAACCTGAAATAGGCCTGCTGCTGCATTATAGCATTACATCACATCTGACTTCATCGTCATGCTGGAAGCTGCATCATGCCACCCCTTAAGGTGTCACGGGGATAGATAAAGCTGGCTACAATGGTTGAACTCTCTCAATTACCAGCCTAGATACTGTACTTTCATGAAGCTTATGAATATTGAGCCACACAAGCCGTTTTTCAGTAGTCGTCTGCACCAAACAAATCATTAAGTTTTCATTGTTTTGATCACTTCACTGATATGACGGGAAGATGTGAATACTTGCATGTTATATTGCAGACCTTATTACAGACATCACAGCATAACATGCAAAAAACTTTTTTTTTTTTTATCTACTCCAAAACCACAACCACCTCAAAGTCAAGGAGCTAGGCGCTGAGCCAATGTGAGACAGATATCTAGCCAATGCTGCTTTTTAAGCTCTCTAGCCAGCCAACATACATTCCTTTTGTTTCTCGAGCAGAAGAACGAGTTAGTCTGCATGTTTGACTGGTCTGGGTATTGTTCTTATGCCTACTGTTAACAAGTCCACCCAGGAGGTAAATATTAACAGTAGCAGAAGAAACACACAGTGCCCTGGAAAAGTATTTACTCTGTAAACCATACTGTACATATATTTTATATATACCAACCATACATTTGAATTTGTTAGAATTCAATGTGACCAAAGCAAGTCGAAGGAAAATGATGCATGGTTTTATTTTATTCATTTGAATGGAAGTCTGAATAGTGCAGGTTTTTTGTTTTGCTTCTAAATACTTTGTAAAACCATCTTTCACTGTAACTGTAGCTGTTTCTTTGTAAGTCTCTTCCAAGTTTCAACACCTTGACACTGAAATCTATTCTTCTTTTCATAATTGTCGAAAGTCAGTCAGATTGAACGACAAATGTCTGAACATATATGTACAAAGCTTAAAACTGCTTCTAAGTTTAGTTAAGATTTAACTTCGACTGATCTATTCTAACATAACAACATTCTTCAGTCTAACCTTATCAGGTTAATTTCCATCCCAGCCTCAAGTCTTTTGTGGCATTTGATAAGTTTTCTTCCAGGATCACGCTATATACATCATGCCAGCATGTGGGACTTCATAAAATATTTGAATTATGACCACTTTGCAATTACAATAATCAAGCTCTGTAACTATAAGCAGACATCATGTTGACGGATGAAATAATTTCTTTAAAGATGTTTTTCTTTGCAAGATGTTTTGCATGTGATACAGATGTTTTCTGGGGTAAAACACATCTGTATCACATAGTTACTTGGACAATCATTTGCTCCACCCATTGAGCTGTACAGCTGACTAAAGCACAGTTCATCCAGCTCAGAGAGAGCGCAGACAAAATGAAGAAAATGACCAGTAATACCGGAGGGTACACCAAGGTTTGGGAACAGGAATCTTTCCTGTAGTCCTTTTAAACAAAACAAAAAAGTCAAACACCAAAAAGAAATGTGAACGTAGCTGTTTGTAATTGTACATGCATTGCCCATCGTAGAAGGCAAATAAAAATATGTTTTGTTAATGCTGAATAGTTTTAGATGGATGGGGGGAAAAAAACATCTATGGAGGAATGGCAATGAATGAAAGTTGACAACATGAGCACTGAGCATGAAATCCTGCTCTGTATTTAAAGTCAACACCATGAAGAATTTCCCCAGGACTGATCACTTGGCCCGACCGACAGACAGACAGAAACTGTGCCATGAGTCATGCTGGCATGATTACGGTGTGGCCTCATCAACAGACACCCCCCAAAAAACAAACCTCTCATACAAGCCAATCAATAAAAGGCCACACTGGATAAAAGATCTGCTTCTACGGAGGTGCTTTCAAGTCCCACAGAAAGATATACATTATATATATATATAGGCCCCAAACACAACAGCAGCACACTTTGGGAATATTCTCTCTGGGTTCCAGTTGGAGCATTGACAGGGGATGAGCATGACTGCCACTATCACACATCAGGGCTTTGCTTTATTGGTCCGGTTACATCACCCCCTCCTCTTGCTCTATGTGATGATGTTTCAGGATAACTGGGCACACAAACTTGGCCATGTGCTCCTATTTGTCTTGTCTGCCAAAATCAGTCAGCAGTTTCCAATACAGTGGGGCCACAGTTTCACTTCCACATGGCCAGGTATTGTAGGACAGTGATGAGCGTAAATTGTCAACAAGGTTGCAGGTTGGGAATATGGAGGCTGCTAACAAGGCAGACATGGAAAGCGGATACACATTTTGGTATACCGAAGGATGCTGCAACTGTGTTAATATTTTGGCTCTCAACTATGAGTCACTTTAAATAACAATTGTTTAGTGCAATAGAAAAGCCACAATCTAAAGACAAAACAACACTGTAAGGCGGCACTGGTTCTCTTTTCTGGTAAATCTACATTTACAGTTATATATTTATCAGTCTATATTAGTGTACCGTAAGAGGAAATGAGTAAGCTGATTTGCATTGGGAGACGGATGCTGATGGTGACCAGGAAGGACAGTTTGAGTGGGAGGGGGGCAAAAATGAATGAAGTCATGCTGAAACTGTACATGGTGTAATTTACCAGACACTCCAGTTTTAAAGAAATAATTATATTCTAAGACATAGGCTAAACAATGTGTGGTATTTATTAAATCAGATTGTTATACAATTTTCCCCTGCGTTAAAGCATGAGTTTCAAACTCCCCCCCCATTCATTCCTTTAAAGTCTTATATCATTTAAAAAAAAATAGGAAAAAAAAGCAGGTTGGGCCTCATATGGTGAATCAAATTATAAGCTTCAGAACTGGAACGTTTGAAATTGTCCACTTTAACAATGACACAGAACACGGTGTCCCATTGTCATCTCCCTGCTGGATCCACAGGGTTCCCACGCTGACCAGCTAATTGGCCCCTAAATTTAATCTACTTTGACCGAGCTCGTTTCCTCTTTAATAATCACGACGCTGAGCGCTTCTTCCGACTGCTGCCTGCCTTCCGTATGGGTAGACCAGAGCACCAGACAGTCACGATAAATAATAAAAGAAAGAAAAAAGACAAAACTCACCCTTATAACGCTCAGCAGTATAAAAGATATCCTTATAATGAGATTCTTTCACAGGCAGCTGATCTCCGGTTTTCTCACATCATTCTAACAGCAACACACGCTGTTTCTTTTTCACCAAGCAGATGTGTGATTTTCTTTTTAAATACCAGTCCCACCGCCGTGCGTAAAATCCAGTCGCTTTGCTGTTGGTCTCAACTGCGGCAGCAGAGGCGAAGCGGATGGGTGTGACAAGGATGAGGCTGCTGTCTGCTCCCCTTCTCTCCAACGGACGAGGTGTTTCCACGTTGCTCCATGAAGCGTGCGGCCGAAGTTCCCTCTCTTGTAGCCCGATTAAGTTTGGTGGAGAGCCCGCCCCGCCCTGGGCTGAAGACGGTCTGAGGGGAAGGCGAGCCCGAGGAGCGCACCGACCAATCGCTGGGCGCGCGGGGAGGCGCTGCTTCTCCCGGTTCACTACGGGGTGACTAAGCGATATGTCCGTGTGAGTCCTGGGAAGCCAGGTCTGCCATTTCAGTTTACTCCCCAGTGAATTATATTAGCTTTAAAGATGCACCTCAGTAACTTAGAGCCTCATGTTGGAGTTTATCTAGTTTAGTTATTCAATTGGATTAAAAAAAAATAGATTCATTACGCATGGAAATATATGTCATGCGTTATGCTTGTTAAATTGGATGATTGTGGCTTTCTGATTATGGAAAGCAATATTCAGCCTGTCCCCAAGGAGGGTAAATGAAAAAAAAGCTCATCCTTTAACAGGCTGTCTGGCGCAGTGCTCTGTATCTATTCAATCATATTAAGGGAAAGTTTGACGGAAGAAAAACTGTTGTTGAATTAGAAAAAGGTGCATAGGAGTGAGAAAATTGTGATAGAAGGTAAAAATGGATGCACTGATCTGTTTTTCCTGAATGAATCTTATACTGATACCTGGGCTGAGCTTATCGCGATATGGTCCGATTCAGCTGTTGAATAAATAAACCATTTATCTTGCCATGTGAGTGAAGGTCTTAGCCTTGGCATGAACATAGTTTAAAAGGGTAACAAATTAACACAAATATAAATGTGACGTATATTATTTATTAAAACAAAGAAAGAAATAACAGTTCCTGTCATGGTCTTTGCTCTGCTCACCTGTCTAATTGGCCCGGTGGCTGATTAACGCAGTTTGTATCCACCTGGTTCCCTCAGCTACTTATGCAGTTTTTCTGCCTACCATCAGTGCCAGATTTTTCTAGCTGTTTTTAAGAGTAACTCTAGCGTTCAAGTGAGTTTTTCTGCTATTCTTATCTGTTTTCTGCTTTTGGATATTCAAGTTTTTTTTTCTTGCCCTTGGCTGCTCTCCCAGTTTTTGGTTTTGAACTTTTTTCCTGGATTCTGCTGGCGCACCGAACTTGGACTGTGTTATTGACCTCAGCTTGGATTCTCCTTTGGTACATCTTCGGCTCTCTGATCTGGTGTGGTCTGGTCTGTCAGCCTGGTTCGGATTTGAACTAGGCTCTGGATACTGTTTCCTCCTCTGCGTTCGGCTGGTGTCAGCTCGTCATCACCCCGAGTTCTGGAAGCGACTACGGCTGCAAGCTATGAATAATCTCCCTCCCGGATTCCTTTCTTCCTCTGGGACCGGACTGGTCTGATGACTAGCCACTCGACGCGTTTGTTTATTTAATTAAAGCCTGTTGAAAATCATCCTGATCAGTTTGTCTGAATATTGGGTCCCTGAGGTTTAGGGCTGGGTATTTTCGCCAAAGTCCTGAATCGATTCGATTTTCATTAATACAGTTCTAAATCGATTAATTTCGATTCGATCTGTTTTTACAACAATGAAAGTGGTTCAACTGTGTTTCGAAATGCTCATGTATTTTATTTTTTTCCTGTCACATTAAACACAAAGCGCAAACTTGTAAATCAGACAGTTTAAACTTGAGATGTGAACAAAACTGTCTCATAAGTGCAAACTTGTTTGTGAAAAGTGAAAAAGTGAAGCCTCACTAGAGCATGCAGACGTGACTCAGCGGGGACACAGCAGACATGCATGAGCTGCATTATCTTCCCTGCACAAACCATATTTGCAGCATTGTCCGTAACAACTACAGGGTGTTTGCTGGTCAGCTCCCATTTGTTAATGTCTTCAGTCAACCTATTGGCTATATTTGCAGCTGTCTGGCTTGAAGTAATCTTGAGTGCATCTTTCCTACTCATTTGAATGTGAACGTCACGCACGTCACTATAGAACTAATCAATCTCATTCCCTAGACATCGATTTTGCAAAAATTTAAAGGAATCCATTCAAAATTGATTAAATCGATTTTTTTTTTTACCCAGTTCTACTGAGGTTATATTAGAATATTGGTTCTGAGGTTATTACAGATCCATGTAAAGTGTACTGAGTTGGATCCCTGACATCCCATCTAAAATCACAATATCAGATCCAGCTAATCAGAAAATATCAGAGTTGATATCCTATCCAGGTATCGAATCAGTGGATCTCTGACACAGTCCAATAAACAATCTGGAGGATTCTTGAAGCATGGATTCAATCTCTTCTGCTTGAATCCATGGTTCAAGAACCGCATCACAGCTGTAACCAAAAAATGGCCTGGGACTGAAACATTTTTTTGTGTTAAACAACTCCTGAACCAGTGAATGTTAGAAATATCTAACCTATCATCTGCTAAAGAGCTTTAAATGTACTTTCTGATGCATATTTTGAAATTTCTTTGTAAAAAAAAAAAATAAATAAAAATCAAACCTTAGAATATGGAAGAGCCACAGATGTCAAAGCCTGATAATTTGTGAACCATGTAACTTGCTATTTTAAGATCTATTATGCTTTCAGAAATATGTTCTGAAGGTCAAACAGAAATACAAGAAACACAAAACACATTTCAAAACAATTAAAACAGTATTCTGTGGAGAAGACAATGTCAATTACATATATATATATATGTATATGTGTGTGTATGTGTAGTCTGTCCACCAGGCTCTTATATCCTCCAAGGATGGGGGTTGACGTTTGTCAGCTGTTGTCAGCTCCAAGTAGAGCTGACAACAGCAAGATTTCATTTGTGAATGCCCCCTGCATTTGAAATCAAGCAGAAGGGGGACATAAGAAATAAGGAGATATTTTTTTAAGCTTTAACCTCCATATGTAACATAAAATGCTGCTCATGAACAGCTAATTAAATAAATGGAACATAGAAATGTAATTTAGATGATGACGATCTTCAGCAGAAAAATGCTCTACAAAATTATGACCACTGCATTCATGTTCCACCACTTTATCTATCTGGGTTACAGGGGGCTAATAGTTATACAACTAGGCATTATATACAACCATGCACGTTCCCACCTTAGATTACTTTAAAGTCACCAGTAAACATGGCAGCCCATTCATTTTCTTTATCTGAGAGAAAGTTAGAGCACCCAGATACAACACCCTCATGCACAGGGAGTACATGTAACCTCCAAGCAGAGGGAGCCAAGGTGAGGATTTGATTCCAGGACCTTTTTGAAGTGCAAAACAACAAAAAGCTGGGGAAACCAAAAACTAAAATCCTATTGCATGAAATTTAGTGTGCATCATATAAAACTTTGTTTATCATCTAATACGTGCCTGCATTAGCTTTGTCTGATATATGCTATATATATATATACATATTAAAATATGTGACCATTCTCAAATTTCTACTTTAATATGAGCAATTTAGTAAAATTTCCAATCCCTGTTAACAGCTTTAAGGCACACGGTATCCTTAAATACAGCTCAGAGAAATATTTTACCAGGCATGCAGCTAAGTGTCTGGGCCTAATATGAACTATTGCTTATAACAAATTCAAACAACCTAAAAGACTATGAGAGATTTATTACTTAAAACATTTTTATGGTTTCAGGCCTCTTAATGGACAAACCATGTAATCTTGCCCCATGACTCAATGATGACGAGCATAACATCACATGCCCATATATTTTGCTCAGTTACTGCATTTTAGCCGTGGAATTACACAGAATCAAGTAAAAAAAATAAAATAAATAAAGATCCACATTCTGCTTTTTCTTTTTAGTCTAATGTCACATGAGGCTTGAGTTGGGGTCTGCTGATGCAATGGTTGCTAAAGTTCAAATGAGAGTTGATATCAATGCTTTGCTGTAGAAGCAAAAAGCAAGCTGTTGCCCTGAATCTAAGTCTGTTTTAAAGCAAAGATTTAATTTGAGAGAATAAGGTTCCTCTGCGGCAGCAGTAACACACCCTGCAGCTCCATTTAATAAAAACCCCATTAGAGTGCATTCCATCAGTGAAGGCTAAGAGTCAGCTGGGAATATTCTCCAGGAGTGAGGTGGATGAAGCAGATAGGTTCGAGGTGTTGATAAGCAGCTACATGTAACATTTCATGTGGCATTTTGTCTTATTATTAAGGCAATAATAAAACATAATTTTCACACTAGATCTGTAAACCACGAGCATTCATGTGTGGAAACAAAAAAAGACATTCTATGTTATGTAAAAGGTTTCTGGAATGCTTTGATGAAAACTTAACATGACAGCAACCCTTGCATTCTGTTTCTTTTGGTACTGCAGATGGCAGTTTACAAAAAAAATCATTATTAAAGTGCTAGAAGAAGATTTTGCTTATTAGGGTGGCATATTTAGGATTATATTTGTTCAGTGATCTGTGCTGCTGGCGTCTCCTGCAGGATTGTTCACTGTTTATGCAACTATATAGGGCATCACATGTATTAACGTAGATTATGTTTTATATTCTTGAGAGTTCTTAGGTAGGATGTTTTAACCGGATAGGGATAAGGGGACACCTTATTTTTGCCTTTAATTTATCAGCAGCTCAATAACAGTTTGTTATTTTTATTCCAGATTTTTTGCACAGTTTGATATGAAGTCATTTTGAAAATAGACCTATGTCATTATCTTCTGTTTAGTCAGCCTTTCTAATTAATATGTAAATCTGCATTTCTTAAGTTGTTCACATTTATTTTTTGTTTAAATGGGTGCAAAGTTTTCAATGTTCTAAGAAGTAATAGTGAGAGAAGTGTTATTATAAAGTTAGAAGGAGCAGGCTGGATTTCTCTCAACCGGCACTGAAGGGCTGATAGAAAGCATTTGTTTGCTCTCTACATTCTGGTAAATCACTGATGTAACTCTATTGGTTATGAAATCGACATTCTTTCTGGGAAAGCACTGGAATTAACTGTGTCATTTAGATTTTGTAATTCATCCTCCACAGTTCTCTTCTCGATGATTAATTAGGTACAAGGAGATCTTTTAAATATCAAACTGCTTTAAATGTAGTCTGTTTAGCTCTATAA